GTTAGGTCTTAAATTCTTAGTTTTCACACAAAAAATAATGATTTTATAGTTTTAATTGTTTTTTAAGAAGACATTTTATTAGGATGAATGAATGAACAACGTTACCAAATTGGGGGTTCTCGGAGCCATTATGTTCAAAAAAAGCAAAAAAGCGCCAAATTTTCAAAAGGCACACGCCTTAGCTAAGGCACAAGGCGCATCAGGCGTATGCCTAGGCGCACCAGGCGTGCACCTTTTGAAAGGGCTGTGCCTAGGACCTTGGCGAGGCGCATACCCTGAAATGCGCCTCGCCTGTGTGCCTTTTAAATCACTGATGTGAGTGCTTTTTTTTGGGGTAATGGGCTACATAACTGGAGGTAGCTCTTTGGCAAACCCCTAGACCCCCCACAATCCGGGTGAAGGCAGGACTCATTCCCAGTTCATTGCTATAACCAGCTAGAGAATTTACCAACAGGCTAGCTATCACATTCCATGTAGTGCAAATAGGCTGAGTGTAAATTCTGGTATTTTTGCTTCAGATTTGGCCTTGTCTTGTTTGTTTGTGAAAAAATAAAATAGGAAATAAAACGGTATGGTCCCACTTTATATGCAAGAGAATGGAGGTAGGAGGGTTATTTGTTTCAGATTGAGGTAGGAAGCAAGATAATGTGATCCCCACTTTATATGAGAGAGAATTGAGGTTGGAGAAAGGAGGTGCAAATTTTGCATCGGCTTTTGAGATGCAATTTTTTTTTTTTGAGAAAATTTAACCAGGATTCATTAAGAGAAAAAGAGGTACATGAGAAGATGTACAAAGCAGGGGAAGAACCCCTACAAGTTACAAAGGAGGAAGCTTGTCGCTATACAAATGCTCTAAGAACACACCACATTTAGCTAAGCCATCTGCTGTATGATTTACACTGCTAGTGAGTGCAAATGAGAGAAAATTACTAATTTTGTATCTAGTAGGACTGCAAATCATAGTTACAAACAAGAAGACGCAAAACTGAGCTGGATGCAATCATGCAAAATTTGTATCTGACTCAAATTTGCACTGCAACCAAGCGCAGCCTAAACATCACTTGCTCCTTTGCATGGAAGTTATATATAAATGTCAAAACGCGAAATATGTTTTTTTGGTAATACATAAAAAATAAAATTTATTAATAAAAAAAGAAGGTACAACTGAGGGCTATGAGAAATCACCCAAAATACAAAACAGTACAGAGACAGGCACTCAGAAAAATAACAGACCAAAGCCAAAAAAAGGACACAGCTTTAAACCAACTCCAGAGAAATCCAAAATCCAACACCAAGATCTTCTTTTGAAACCCCTTCAGAATTTAGCTTCCTCAATAGAATATAGTCAGTCCTTCCATCAAGACCATACCTTCTTACAAACTCCCAAGAATTTCTCATAGCCCCGGTGATCCCGTTGTCCCCCCTTCCCCCTTTCCTTTCACTCAACTTCAAATAAGCAATAAAATCACCCCCCCACATCCAAGGAAAAGCCCTACCACTGAGAGCTCCCTCCAGATCCTCCCACAACTCCACCTTACCGCCCTCCCCTGAAGGCCCATGCACATTTGACACCAAAATCCTGCAAAGCAACACCAGATGATCCAGCACCACTGGCCCTTTTTCCTTTTTCTCTTTCTTTTTTTCTTTTTTTTTATTTTTGTTTTCTTTTTTTTCTAAGAAACAGGTTCTTTGTGGGTAATTTGTAATTCTCCTCCAATTCCTGGAACATTTTCCTTGTGAACAGACCTAGGGCTTTACTTACTTCCACTGTCGTATCTGCAACCTTAGTTAAGTCAACAGTTTTATCAATCTGATGAGTTTCATCTAAACAAGCTTCCTCCTCACCTGCCTCACTAATACTTCCATCCTCATCTGATGAAGGAACTTCATCCTGATTATTTTCAATCTCAAACTCTGTCAGCGGTCTTGTCCTGTGTGCTCTCTTCCTATTATACACTTTGGGCCACAAGCTGACCTGGCCTTTACCTTTGTTTCTTCCCCCTTCTTCTAACTCCTCCAAAAGAATGGCCATAACCAAGCTAGAGTGAATGTAAAACATATCCATGCACCCATACCCGGTTGGTGCACCCATCTCAAACAAGTCCCCAGTTCCATGACCCAGCCAACGACACAATGCCCACCCACCACAGAACATGCACATAACCTAAACTATTTATAGGATCAAGTACCAATTTATACAATTCCTGCCTATACTACTTCTGTCCAATGAACAGCTAATTTGTTGGCCGCCACAGAAGACACACATACCCTAAACTATTTTTATAGGATCAAGTACCGATTTATAAAATTCCTGCCTATACTACTACTTCTGTTCAATGAACAGATAATTCTTTGGCCGGTTTCTGGACCAAGCAGAATGAAGTGTTCCCACCAGCTGCCAAAGATCTAAGTTCTCTCATAAATATAGAGTGTCACACATATCCCCATCCTTCATCCCTATTACTGCCACAGTTATAATATATTAAATGCCATTTGAAAGAAACAACAGATCAACAAAGGAAGGTTTTAATTCTTCTGTTTAGGAGTGTTTTGCCACAACCAGAAGCAATAACTTGAGAAATTTATGTTGGTCTAACAATTAAAAGTAAGAAGCCCTCCTAATGTCTTTTACTTGTACACCTAAGGCCCCATTCATTTTTTGGAGTCTGGAGGGGGGAGTCGGTCAATGGAATTGTGGTTCCCATTGACCACTTTTCCCATGTTCGTTTTTCACGTTCATGTAGGATCCATGGAAAAATCACTTTCCCTAGGTATCACTTACCCAGGTAAGTTATACCCATAAAACATATTGGGACAATTTTGCCCATTCTAATAATGACTTCTTATGGATAAAAGAGTCATTGTAAAATTTACTTGAGAATCAAAAGAACACAATTAATCTCACTTACCTAGGTAAGTAAACTACCCAGGTAAAATTAGCTTTTTGAAAAACAAACGAAGCCTAAAGCTTAAACTTCCCTTGCAAAATTGAGATTTAAGTATAAAAGATTAAGTGGGCATACCAAAGCAAGGGCATATTGTATCACATAATTGCCAACAGCTGCTCCTTCTGGCTGTGAAGTCAATAAAATCCAACATTAACCTTGTCCTTAACTGAGGGAAAAAGATAAGCAAAAGAAGAAAATACATATTCAATAAACTATTAGATTCAACAAATTTCAGAAGGTACCCGGCATCCAACAAGACGATGCAGCAGCTGTTGCAAAGCTGGCAATTGCTCCAACAGTTCTTCACTGTGCAAATCCCTGGTTCTACTGTAGCCCTGATAATGGAAGGAAACAAACAATAAAGCTAGAGATCAACAATTGATGATGACCCATATGAGATTAGATGGACATAGAAATACCTATTTCATCCAGTTGATATGATATAATATGATTCAAATAGTGATGCTGAACACCGCATCCCTTTTCCCCCATTTCTCCAATCCGCAAGGTCCAGCAAATGTCTCAAGATTCATCTTTTTCTTTTTTTTTTAAGTATTGTACTCATTTAATATGTATCACCATGTACAAGTACAGACAGGTACAGTGAGGTCACTATACAAAAATTGCAGGCAACAATAACAAGCAGGCTTGCACAAAAATATCTCAAATTTTATCTTCTTGGTGAACTTACACGATTCTATCTTACTGGTTTTATTTGAAAAGAAGGTCTCAAGTCGATTATTTTATGACTTATTAACTTATTACCAGAAACTCCCCTTCACTTTTCTAACATTCTATTAAATATACACTGACTTTTCAATACTTCCACAGATCCCTCAGTCAGAAACTTTTGTTTATAACATATAGACTTTCTGTCAAGTCAACATCAGTGACCATAACAGAAGTGGTCCACATGCGCCATATTTATTTTTTAATGACAAAACGAACCCTGGCCAACTGGTCTACTCTATTAACTAAATTTTATATGACAAATACCCCTGCTTTATTTTACTCCCCTATTTCATGTTCATTCATCTCACAACCTGCCAATTTTTCAATTCTCCAACCAGCAGTTCAACTTGACTTAATAATCAACCCATGTTCATAACTTTGGTTCGAAGGATAGAATTTAATAGAGGGGCATCATTGTAATTTTGAAAATGCCATTCATTTTCTAACGAAAATTAGGGGTGCTCACGGTTCAGTTAACTGAACCATGGGCCTATTTCCAAACTGAACCGGTACCACTGGTTTTTTGAAAACTGGGAACCGAAACCAATCAGTTAACCAGTTGATCAAGATCAGTTCGGTTTTTGACCGGTTTGGTTCTTTGATTTTTTGACATTTATAATATAATATAAATACTAGAAACAAATATAATATATTACATTATAAATAATGAATAATATATTATATATTATACATTATAAATATATATATTTATATAATCCATATATATTTATTTATAATATATAGATAATATAATATATATGAAAAATATATATAATATACATGAATATATATATACAGGTCAGTTTGGTTAACCGCCAGTTTTTCATATTCGTTAACTGAAACCAAACTGGTACCTTCGGCTTTTCAAAAATACTGAACCAACTGGTTCAGTTAACTGGAATTTTTTGTTCATTTTCATTGGTTCAGTTTGGTTTTTTGGTCTTCCAGTTTTTTATGAGCACCCCTAATGAAAATGTTTTACAATGGAGGTCTCTTGAGAACTAGAGGTATCAAAAAGTCAAGATAAGTTTGAAATTTGAGGCCATTGTTTAGAAGAATCCCTTTATAAGATATTTAAGATTTACTTTTATCTGGTTTAAGAAATCGGGAGTTATTTAGAGCTCTCATGCAACAAGAATGTTTGAGAATGAACTTTATAATTGTTTAATTGGTCCACAATAAGTGTGGGGAATAATGATATTTGTTTAATGTTTCTACATCAGATTAGAAATGTAAGGGTGTAAGGGTCTTCATTCTTTCTAAAATCAATAATAACAACCAAAAAAATGGAAGGGAAAAAATAACTAGATGACCCAAAAAAACAACAATTAATACAAGTCAACTACCATTCATGAACCTTTGCTTGGAAAAGGAAGGAACCCACACAACTCGAACCTTCCAAACCCCCTGCTGGCAAAGATATCAGCCAAAGAGTTAGTCAACCTTGGCATCCATTTGAATAAGCTGTTTATCCTTGGAAGCAAAGGCATGAACTTCTCTCTCTTTTTTTTTTTTGATCAATAACTGTGGATTGAATTAATATTAAAAATATGAGAAAATTACAGGGCAAGGGGGCTAAACAATCTTAGCTCCCAAGAACAACCATTAAACATCAAAAGAACAAAAATTACAAGACAGCCCAAAAAATAGAATGTCTGTTCACCCCTTGTCTAGCTAGACCATCTGCCAAAGAGTYCGCACTTCTTTTTACCCATTTGTATTGGATTTCCATGTCCTTAGTCAGCCACTTGAATTTCCTCTTTTCATTACTATAATTCCAAAGTCTAAGACTATCCTCTTTCAGGCAGTTTACCACCACTTCAGAATCTCCTTCTATGATCAGCTTGTTAATATGCATATCCTTGATTCTTTGTACCCCTTCAAGAGCTGCAAGAATCTCCCACCCCAACTAGTCCAGAATACATAACTAACAGATTCCCTTGTTCATCTCTTATTACTCCTCCTATTCCGGATGGCCCTGGATTGCCAAAGCTGCTGCCATCAAAGTTCAGTTTAACAAAGTCATGGGGTGGGGGGATAAAACAAACATTTGAGGCCTTCCTCATTGGAACAAGTTCTGCTATCTCCTTCCACTTTCTTTGCAGCTCATCAACTGAAAATTCTGCGAACAGAGCCAAGGTTTTCAGCCAGTGTATAACCTTAATGTGGATGACCTCCAGCATTGCTTCCAAACTTCTCTCCTTATCTGTAAATATTCGTGAATTTATCTCCTCCCAAATAGTCCAACAGACTGCAGCCCTCATACACCTCCACATAAACTTGGCCCTTTTTGTTGGCCGAAACGGCATAAATGTGAATAGGCTTTGCACATTCGAAGGGGGGTCCACCTGCACCCAAACAAAGAAGTACACCACTCCCAAATGATGTTAGTGAACCAATAGGAGATTAGTAAGTGATACCCAAACTCACCATCAGCTTTACAGAGGACACACCAGTGAGGACAAAAACAACTATTGGGTCTTTTTCTTTGAAGTAAATCTATGTGTTAACTCTTTCCAGAAAGGCCTCCCAACAAAAACTCCCAACCTTAGGAGGTATAGGATGACACCACACCTCTTTAACAGGGAAAGACAAGCCAGAAGAAGAAGAATRTGTGAGAGCACTAAAGAAAGAGGCACAAGTGAAAGAACCAGAGGGGGTGAGAGGCCAAATTCTACTATCTGCCTTTGTTGGCTCTAGGAACACCCCTTCAAAAATGGATAACAGTGATGAGATACCATCAAGTTCCGTGTCCTTGATATCTCTTCGCAAGCCCAAGTTCCAGTCGACCCCAGAAATAGAATTAGAAGGAACAATGAATGAAGACACTGGTTCATTTTTAAAAGTGGAAAGTGCAAAAAGGCTTGGGAATTGGTCTTTTAGGGTGGATCCCCAATCCAAACATGTTCCCAAAAATTAATGAAAGTTCTTGAGTGCAAGTCATACCTGATCCATGGAGAAAACAAAGGTAGAATAGCTTGAATAGCTTTCCAAGGAGATGCTCTTGTACTCCTTGCCAGAATCCCAGAGTCCCATCCATTTGCTGCAACCCCATKAATACTTCCCACTATCTTCACCCAAAGTTTGTCCTTCTCCAATGAGAACCTCCAAAGCCATTTCCCCAGAAGAGCCAAGTTCCTATTCCTTATGTTCCTGATACCCAAACCTCCCTCCCTCTTACTCCTACAAACCATCTCCCACCCCACCCTATGGTCCTTCTTCTCCTCCCCTGGCTCCTAGAGAAAGTCTCTCATTAGTTTTTCTAATCTACTAGCCACCTTTGTCGGAATCTTGAAGATTGAAAAAAAGTAAACAGGAATGTTAGCTAAAGTAAACCTGATTAGAGTGGTTCTCCCTCCAAGAGACACAATTTTTCTTCCAAGTTGCTAATTTCTTTTCAAACCTCTCCACAACCGGAACCCAAAACTCACCTTTCTGAGGGTTTCACCCAATGGCAAACCGAGGTAATTAAGGGGCCAATTTGCTATTGCACATTCTAAGATGTCTGYAGCCTCARAGATCTCCCCCTCRCCCATATTTACCCCAACTATACAACTCTTCTCAAAATTCACCTTAAGGTTTGACATTTGCTCAAAAAGTCGTATAGTGAGCTTCAAATTTCTAATCCTTTTAGGGTCCCCTACTTCACAAAAGAGTATGGTGTCATCTGCAAATTGCAAATGTGTGAGTGGCACAAACTCCCTCCCAACTCTCCAACCTCTAATTAAACCCCTGGACTCTGCTCTACAAATTAGTCTCCCTAGAACTTCAGCTACCAAAGTAAATAAAAAGGGAGAGAGGGGGTCTCCTTGCCTAATCCCCCTCAAGGTTGGGAAGAAATTGACCACTATCCCATTTACCAGTATGAAGTAATGGCAGTTCCTGATACAACCCAAGACCCATCTGCACCGATTATCCCCAAAACCAAAATTGGTCATCACCTCCATCAAGAAAGACCAATCCACCAAATCATAAACCTTTTCCAAATCCAGTTTACAAATCACCCCTTTTTTCTTGGACCTCTTAAACTCCTCCAAGCTCTCATTTGCTATCAAAATCTAATCTGTTATTTGTCTCCCCTTCACAAAAGCTCCTTGATTATCTGCTATAATTGTTGGGAGCACTTTCCTTATTCTGATGGACAGCACCTTGGTGATAATCTTATAAAGGTTGTTGACTAGGTTGATCGGCATGAAATCCTTTGGGTGACATGCATTCCTCTTCTTAGGAACCAATGCAATAAAAGTGGAGTTCAGCCCTGGGTTGGTCACCCTCTAGAGTGGAATTCATCAAACACAATCCACAGATCTTCCTTTAATATCTCCCAACAATCTTGATAAAAAGCCATTGTAAAACCATCTGGGTCTGGCACCTTTGATCTATCCATAGAGAACATTGCCTTATCTCTTCCACTTCAAATTTCCTTTCCAACCAATCCCTATCCTCTATCTGCAAAGTTGTCCATTCCATACCCTCAATCCACACCCTATTATTTAAGGGTTTTCTAAAGATAGACCTAAAGTAATTTGCAAAAGCCCCTGCTATTTCTCTTTGGGTGGATAATGTAACCCCTTCAATCTCCAGACTTGATACAAAATTCCTTCTTCTTCTTCCACTTGCCACCGCATGAAAAAATTTGGTATTCCTATCCCCCTCCTTCAGCCATTACACCTTGATTTTTGTCTCCAACTTATCTCCTCCTGAAGAAGATAATCCTCTAACTGTTTATGCAATCTCCATCTTAGCTCCTTATCTTCTTCTGTAAGACAACCCCTTTCTTCCCTACCATCCAGGTCCTCAATTTGCGCAATCACTATTTGCTTTCTTTCCTCTAATCTCCCAAACTCTAACAGATTCCACTCCTTGATTTTGCCTTTCAAATAACGGAGCTTCTTATGAAACCTCATTCCACTCCATTTCATTGTTGGATTGCTTTCTAGCCACCACTCTTTGACTTTCTTTAGGAACCCTGGGTGTCCTAGCCACATGTTTTCAAACCTAAAGAGAGCAGGACCAACACTTCTCACTTCCTCCCTATAGATTACAATAGGCCAATGGTCAGAAGTCACCCTTGGATATGCTCTAGAGTTTAAATTCCCCCAATGTTCTTCCCAGTCATTTGAGAATAGAAATCTATCCAGCTTAGAGCAAATCGGGTTCACTTGGAAATTGAACCAAGTAAAACAACTGTGTGATAGTGGGATCTCTTTAAGCTCGTAAACATCCACAAAATGATTGAATTTCCTCATACTCAAGGTCGATCTCCGCCTCGGACTATTTGTCTCTTCCAGGAATCTTATAACATTAAAGTCACCTCCAAGACACCAAGGCCCTTCCCATAGTCCCCTTATATCGGCCAGTTCTTCCCACAACTTCCTTCTCTCTCTGTAATCATTTGGACCATATACATTGGTAAGAACCCATTCAAACCCATCCTCCACTTGTTTAAACTTCAAGGAAATAGAAAATTGGCCTATTAACTCTTCCTAACCTATGAGTACTTCATTCTTCCACATTGTGACAACACCCCCCACAAACCCCCAAGAATGCAGAGCCGCCCAATTAATCCCCCTGCCTCTCCAAACACTCCTTGCCCACCTAATGTCAAAATCTGCTCTCTTGGTCTCTTGCAAAAGTAACACATCTGGGTCTGTTTTCTTGACAGCCTCTTTTATTACTGCTCTCTTCCTAGCACTTCCCAAACCTCTGATATTCCAGCTTAAGATCCCCATCTAACTATCTTCTTTCCCCTTAGACCCTCCTGCCCTCAGTTATTCCTCTTCCTTCTTTCTCCTTGGACCTTCAAACCTCTATCTCCTCCCACCTCCTTTAGCAGCCTTTCAGCCTCATTCAATCTTCTCCTTTTAGATTTTGCTTCTTCTTTCTTTGTTTTCAAAAATACTTTGAGAGCATTTGGATCTTTCAATTTGCACCCCAATTTCTGTACAAAACCCGCCACAGAAACCTTACTAATTACATCTCTTACACTTGACTTTCTACTTCCCTCCCCTGTTTTTGTCTCCCCCCTTCTATCTCCTTCCTCCTCAGAACCCTCTACTCTAACTCCCTCTGACCCTTCCTTTTGACTGTTTTCCACCACTGCTTCATTTAGCAGACACTCTAGAATTTCCAGGATTCTTTTCATTTTTTCTGTTTCTCCTTCATTCCCTACTTCTCTCTCCTGACCCTCCCTGCCGCTTCTATTTTCTCTCACCCCATCCCCTCCTTCAAAGGCATGAACTTCTCTGAAGTGATGGTTCATTGAGCAGGGGCTAGTAGTACCACCAAGCATATAGCCAATAACAGATGGGCCTTTCCCTCAATCTCCACTCTAAAAACCTAGTAAGATAAAGGTCTAAGGCATTTAAGCATAGAGAGAATATCTACACAAAAAGAGTCTTCATGCCCAAACTGCCCCAGTACTCAATCCCAAAATTCAAACAATGCAATTTAGCCCAAAACATCTGCTGCCTATTTGCCCCTTGTTTAGTTAGAGCATCTTTCATGCCATTTTCAGTTCTCACCCACTAATTCAATTTCTCGGATATTGTGCCTGTATATCCAAGGACTTTGACTGTGAAACTTTGTGCAAGAAATAACCACCCGGGAGTCCCCTTCCACCTCCAACAGCTGGAATCCAAACTGCTTTGCAAATTTCAGTTCTTGAAGCAAAGTCAGCAGTTCTGCTGTCAATGAGTCTCCTTGCTCTACAGGGCTTGAAAATAGTGCTAGTACCTTCTCAATCTCAAAGGACATCCCCTAAACCAGTCCTTCCTTTACTTCCCAAAAAGCTTCCATCAAAGTATAATTTCACAGCATTGGTTGTTGGTGGTCTCCACTCCATTATCACTCTCTCCTTCTCTTGAGTCGAATGTGACACTTCCTTCCATGATCTCAAAATATCATGATACCTTTATCCCTTTAATCCCTATAAACTCCTCCAACACAAGATGTACCTGGTTACCCAGTGGGTCATCCATCAAAATTGAGCTAAGGATCTCCTGGAGAATATACAAACTCTGCAGATATTTTTCCTGTCAAGTAGTTTATCAACTTATATAAAATATGCACTATGAAGGTCAGGTTATTGCTGTGTTCTCAGGTCCAGTTGGAGTAGGGGACTTTTTTTTTGCAGAGTTCCAAGCTGTCCTGCAAGGAGTAAAGCTTGCTAAAGATTTAAATTATGATAGATTGTTAATTGAAGGTGACTCTAAACTGGTAATGGGTGGTTGAAGGAACCTGAAACTGTAATTTCGAAATACAAAGAATACATGAAAAGATTTAAGTGGCTGGTCAGAGATATGACAATTTCAGTCCAATGGGAAAGGAGGTCAGCTAACGGGATGGCTGATTTCTTTGCAAAACAGGGGGATGCAGAAGTCTGAATTATTCTGGGCTCAGTTGTAATCTGGTTATATGGCTGGGGCTGCATCTCACGCCTCCACTGGTTGTACTCTGTAATCTTGGGATACTTAACTATGCTCTAATAAAGTTTATATCATTTATCAAAAAAAAATATATATATATATATGCACTGATTTGCTGGGATACACTTGAAGAATAATATTAACATGATCAGATATAAAATTGTCAACATATAAAGGCTAGTTCAATAGCTTCTGCCCATGGATTGCCCAAGTCTTATAGCCTGCAATAGCTTTATGTATTCAAGTAACTAAGACAAGAAAATTTGTTTGGACATTTTAGAACTTCTTCCCAATGTCAAATTGATTTGACGATCATGCCCAAATACCAAAAGCAGAGATATGAAGATAAAATAGAGCAAATCGATTCAAAAATTATAAAGAAATAAGACTGGAACTATCTGATTCACAAGAACTTCCTGTCAAGCAATTTTAAGATTCTAGTTTGTCTTATTTTCTTCTTGTCTGTTTTAAAAAGTTTCTTCCCCCATTTTCTATTAAAATTTCCTATAAAAGGATGGTAGTTAAAGCTGATGATATCACATTAAGACATACCTTGTCTTCTCCTTGGGCAGGTCTTGGGAGACGCTCAGCCTCAATATCGTATTTCAAAATCCTAAAGCATTCTAATCTTTCTTCCAAAAACAGTGCATATGTACGAACCCATGCAGAGCAATCCCAAGCTGAAACAAACAACCATTTGAAAGTAAGAACTGCATTTCCTCATGTTCAACACAGCTTATATAGGATATGTTTGTGCACAAAAAGAGAAGCTTTTATAGAACAATATATTTCCAATAAAAAAATCCAGGATGTGAAGAAATTAACCAATGGGGCTTGAATCATCTTTGAAGTTAGATAGCTGGAGAATGTGCCCCCTCTGTGAGTAGTTCAGGAGCTCTTCCCGGAAAGTAGGATCACCCTCCCTCAAGGTTCTATGGATAACTATCAACGTTTTCAATGCCACCTGTGTAGTACAAACCAAGTCCAAATTATGTCATAATAAACAGTCATGTGACAAGGACAAGCAAAGAAAAAGCCAAAGAAAAAAAAACAATGTTAAATTATATCTTTTTTTAATCTTTGATCGTCAATATAAGCAGAGGATCTTATTAATTATTAGTGTTAGAAACAGTACATTGAGTGATAAGGACCCCCTTGCTTTACTGCAAGTGGGAGAAGAGAGCCTACAACACCACAGTTGAACTACTGACAAGCAATCAACAAGTAAAAGGGATTTCATTAACAAGGAAATAAAATAGTAAGGTACAATTGCTTCTGCTGTTCAAGATTACAACAGCAAGATCTTGAACAGCAGAAGCAAACAGCAGAAAACTGCTGAACAGTCCCAAGAACACTATCAAATCTTCAGATTGGGAAATACTAAGTTGAATGCTTCAAATAGTGTCCCTTCCCAAGGGGATCAAAAGTTCACAACTTCATTAATGCAAGGGATATTTCTTGCATGTGGCAGAGAGCACAATAACATAGGTTAGAATCTGAGAGCAGCCACTTTGTGTAAAAAAATAATACCAAATGTTTTCTGTATCCAGTATACCACTCCCAAGACCCTGGATAGCTTGGGCCATCATTGGGTAATGGTCCTTGTCATTAGATTTGGTCCCTGTTTGGGAGTGCTTCTTTTAAACACTTTATTGGGAAAAGCGCTTAAAAGATTCCAAAAGCACCTGAAAAAGAATTTATGGGCATTTGGTAAAAAAAAGCTTCAATAAGTGCTTTTTCAAGAGAATAATCCCATTTTGAAGAAGCCCAAGTTTTGGGCTTTTTAATAAGCACTTTTTAAAAAACTGATTCTTGTGTTTCTGGCCCGTCTTGGCCTGCCACCTAATTATCAAAATACCTATACTACCCCCCCCCAGTTTGAAAGAAGCACTTTTTCACCAAACATCATAAGCTGCTCATTTAATAAGCACTCCCAAACATTGCCATGATGAGGAGTCTGACTGTCAGAGGCAGTTTGTTATAGTTGTGCAGTTGGGAGTTTTACCCTGTCTGTCAGATGCAGTTTGTTAGCTGGGACCAAAAGCATGAAGATTGTCCTTAAACCCTCTCCTTTTTGTGAACATTATTAAATTTCTTACCTAGACTAGCTCCACATAGACCATTTTCCAATCTAGAAAAAAAAAAATAACTCTGCTAACATGAACCAATTGATGACTCCAAGCCACATAGACCATTTACCTTTATACCACAGCCTCACCAATGCAACTTAATTTTGTTCCAACCAACTTTAATGGCTCCAAGCCACACCTGAGCTCTTGCAACTCCTCTTCTTCCCTATTCAAATCTTCTATAAGAATCACACCTTCATTTCTGCCTACTAAGGCAACACTATGAGAATCAACTACCTCTTTTACCCCTTGTTGTTGCTTGTTCAAATTGCCATGTCAACTTATCTGTGCCTCTATTTTCTTCCCCTGTATGTGTACTAAGCTGCTTTGTTGAAGCCATCTCCCTTAATATCATTCTCAATTTGAGATACCATCCTCTGCACCAATACAAAATCTTTTATCATTTATCATCAAAACAAAGAATACATTGAGAAGCTTACCTATCCTCCTACTGTTTAGTTATTTGCTTTCCCCATGTTTATCATCAACGACAAATCAGGCATAATCTCATCACTGATCAAAGCATTATTCGGCTCTTCCACTCTGCTTGGTCCCAATACCCTCATTGAGTGGTTTTCCTTCTTGCATAGCCTGTTATGTCTACTATCCCTTGGTTTAATTAGCTTGTCTTCTTTCCTTGCTTTCTCCTCTGCTTGATTTTTCCATGTTTTTACATATTTAATCACCAACCATATCCACTAGTCTGAACCATCTTGAACTTCCTCTCCTCTCCTCCCTTGAAATTTTGGTTTTAACCAAAAAACCTTCCCCAAGGAAGCCTTTGTTATTCCCAGTACATCTTTCATTTGAACTTCTACAACAACCTCTGTATATTCTATGATATTACATCCCCCCACCCGGTTGCCATCTCATGTTGACCCATAACGTGCAATCTTCAATCTTTCTGCCTCAATTTACTCCCTGGTATCACAGTTTCCATCTACTACACCATTCATTATTGCATCTTCTCCTTTGGCCAAAATTACTAAAGGAATTTGAAATTTCTCTCTTCCCAGTCATATCTTCATTTTTTTTTATAATTGTGCAGTCATATCTTCATTAAGACCCAACACATGGCTGTTAATGAACACTTCAAATCCCACCTTACCTCTTCCTGAATTCCCAACTCAAATTCCTCTAGAAACCTCCCTTCAAAACTACCTTTGGTCTTCATCCCACTCTAGTAAGCCTCCATCTGCTCAAAATTTTTAACTGAAGAGTCTTCTCCTTCAATTACTATCCTTAACTCGTACTCCTTAGTCCCTACCTACGAATCCTAACTTCAACACCGACAGTATCAATGAAACATTTTCCATTTCAATTTCCTAAGTATAATGGGTTATTCCATTTTCCACTTCTCGCATTCCCACTTCATTACATCTTCTTCTTCTGAATAAGGATTCACAAATCGCCTCACTCACTTCCAGAAACTGCAATCTTTGTCTAATATTGCAAATATCTAAACTAAAACTTTGTCCTCCTTACCAGACTCATTCCAAACCCCATATTTTGTGGTTCCTTGTCAACTTCACTATCTCTATCAACCCCAGTACTGCCGCAACTGATTGAACTTTCACCTTGTCTTTTGTAATTATTTATATACTCCAGTGTTTTAAAAGGCGTGGGAGGCATACGCCTGGAGGCGCAGCGCTCCCAAAACGCCCTGAGGTGTATGCCAAAGGCGCTGACACCTCTGAGGCGTATGCCTCAGGTGTTTCATGAGGCGTGCTAGAGGCGTATTCCTCTTGCGCCTCATGCACATCTGATATGAAAATACAGAAAAAAAGAAAAAAAAAAAGGAAAGGAAAAGAAAAGAAAGGGAAAGGAAAGGAAAGGAAAGAGAAGAAAAAAAAGAGAAAATGAAAGAAAAGAAAAGGGAAGGAAAGGGAAGAAAAGATAAGGGGAAAGAAAATGGTTGGCCCCCCAGACCCCCCCTTGAACTACTGTTATGCATCTTTATTCTTCTTAATATAAAAGATTTTTATTAAAAATAAAGAAAAAATGAGATCCCCCCTTCCTCTTCATCCTCCTCTTAAGGAGGCTTACGCCTCTTGCGTTCTAAATTACGCCTCACGCCTCTAGGTAGTGGAACGCCTCCGCGTTTTAAAACATTGATATACTCTTGGTCATGCCCTCTATCCTTCCCCCATTTCCAGCCATACCTACATCATGCATCCAATTGATGATATCTTCCCCATGAATCCCTCATACTTCAGTGTTTGTCTTCTAACTAACCCCATACTTCACCAGTCCTAATAACAGGACCATAAGATTTCCTTTGAACCCTTAAAAATGCTTCGAGGAGGCCCCTTCTGTTACAAGAGGAGTATGGGAACTCATGGTTGGAAAAAATCCTTATGGTTTTGATACCCAATAGGAATAATATGAATGAAAGTCCAGGTTAGTTGGTGAGCCTAGTTGAACAGAATACCTAGCTTGGTTTGGAGAGCACCTGTTGGGTTAAAGATTTGTTTGTTGCTAAATGTTACGGCCTAAATGCTGAACTATTGACCCTACTTGTTCGGATGGGTGTTCACCCCAAAGTGTTCCCGGACCGCATGCATACATCCGTAAGTAACTTAGTGCAACATGGCAAAATTCATTGAGAGGAATCAGCAAAGAAAAGAAAAGATGGTCAATATCTTAATGTGTATTTGAGTGATTGTCCTTGGGCTTAGGAGTGTCCACATGAGTTCGTTGAGGTGTCTACACAGGCCTGCGGTCCTCTTTTATATTCTGTCGAGAGTTCGGATTGCTCCACCTAAGTAGAATGAAAAGGAAGAATAGGAAATTCAAAGGGGAGAGTGAAGAAACAAGCGATAAAAATACAGGAGTGCTAGTAGCATGATTCAAAACTAATGTGCACTAGATCAAGCGGCAGCTTTTCTTGCTTCATTATGCCACCTTCAACATAGCATTTTTTCCAGTTCCTAAGTAGAATGAAAAGGAGGAATTGGAAATTCAAAGGGGGGAGCGAAGAAACAAGCAATACAAATACAGGAGCGCTAGTAGCATGATTCAAAACTACTGTGCACAATTGATCGAGCATCCCCGTTGCTTGCTTCATTATGTCCACCTTCAACATAGAGCATTTTTTCCCATTCCTTTTTGGTGGGGTGTCAATAGAGGACTTCAGGAAATACAAAGCTTTAGGTTTACATATACAAGTTCTCCTAGGATGATTTGATTTTTCACTGTGTAATCAGCTCATTATGATAGAAAAGTTTCTACATAATCAAAAGTAACAGAAAGGTCACTGTGAAAACTTGCAGGGAACTAATGACACTATTCTTTATTCTTAAATTTGATGGTGGATTTAGTACAAGAAAAACATGGTGCTTTGAAAACTTTTTTATATCCTGATAACGTGCTATTAACTCCATAAAGATGGAAATCAGAGTCACCTCCAGATAAAATTAGGAACCATGATCAATGCATATTGGGTCCTATGTCACTCACTTAAAAGAACTCAGTAAATGCAATAAGATGTTGAACTTAAGAATACCTATATCTTTGAAATCTTGCATTTTTCAGCTTTGACAATCAACAATGATATGAAACGAATAACTTGAAGGAAGTTCTGAGCTTTAAACTCCTGATTTCAGATACCTTTCTTCAAAATTTCAAATACAAAAATAAAATGATAGAGGTTTTATAGATAATTTCACAAACTGTGCCTCCACAAAGGAAACTCCAAAGAGAAAGGGCCTCAAAAGTGCAATACAAGGCAGATAGTTCTTAAGAAACAGAAGCAGAAGCATCATATGAAAAGTATGGGGGAACAAAAAGGAAAAAAAAAAGTATCATATACAAAACAGATTTTATTTTCTTTACAAGGACCAAGATAAGGATTTAACTTGACGGGAACCACTAATAAGGTTTCATATTATCAATCTGTGATAACCCAAAGAAAAATCTTGACAGTCCCCTTCCCGATTCCAACTTAATCAAGTAATAATCGTTTTAAAAGCATATTCCTTCCTTCACAATCCCGATCACTTTCAAAACCTCACAACTAAAATTTCACACAAATTTCAAGCAATAAGAGCATTAGCAATCAATTCCATTAAGATCTAGAACTAAATCCAAAGCCAAAATGAACAAACAAAAACAACAAATGGGACATCTAGATGAATTTGAAGCACAATGGAAGCATACCGTCCAGTTGTGGGTCTTTGCCAACCGCCTTGCAAGGGCACGTATGCAGTACGCAACATCTGCCCTAGGCCGCATCACTGATGTGACCGCCAAGATTTCTGAAAAAGAAAAACCATTTCTTCACAAAATCAAACCAACACTTCCAGAAAACAAAACCAAATTAGACTTGCAGAGCCACTCACTCCTGAGATGTCTCTCCTTCGGCGGGCATTCGACGTGATTCGTGGCTTTGACGATCGCAACATCGACATCCTTCCATTACAAACACCAATTAAGTCCAACCCAAAGATCAAACCCACAAGAAAAATACACAGATCACTCATTGCCAGTCTTCACAGAAGGAGAGATAAAGAAACAACATCAAAAATTTAAACTTTTCTTAGAAAACAAAATAGAAGAGGAGGGAATTGAAACAAAACCTTATATTCACTATTAACTTTAGCGAGGCCCACTTTGGTGGAGTCTTTGATAGCGCCGTAAGCCTTTCTCCATGTCTGAAGCGTGGCCATGTGTCAATACCCCCGTCGGCTTCTCTCCGACGACGGCTCTCTTCTTCTCCCCCCCCCCTCTCCCCTTCTCCGTTACCGCTGCAATCTCTCTCTTTCTCCTCTCTCTCTCTCCCTCTCGCCGTCCTTCTTCCTTCCTCTTACGTGGAGGGTGTCCTTTTTCTCTATTCCGGTCTTTTCAGTACAGCGAGCACGGTTGGAATTTTAATCAACCAGACCAAGGCACCCCCCAACTTAGATCTCTCTCTCTCTCTTCCGGCCTTGTTGGCTTTTGGCGGGCCCAATTGTTATGCGTCATCATTTATTTGATTTTTTTCCAAAATTAAATAATATTCCTCTGACAAGCCAGTAATTGTGATCTATAGATTGGAATATTTTCTCTCATAGACCATATCTAGAGTATAGAATACTGCAAATACATACTAGCTGGCCGTTGATCAGAAGTCAGAACTTGTTTAAATTGCTTGAAAGCAACCCAGTTGGATGTGTTTGACTGTGTCCCCTGTCCTGTGGCTCATCATCATAAGACAATGCAACAGAATAGTACCACGTGGCAGAGTTTGTCTTGCCACGTGAATTGCTTTTTCTAGGCATTAATAAGGTAAGGTATACAACAATTTTTATACACAATAGACCAATAGAAACAGTCTATGGGAATGGGACCCACGACTCTGGACCTGAATGTGAAGAAGCACCAAAACACATATTTTAGGTCAGTAGGTCACATAAAAAGCTGTTAAAGTGAGTAATTTGGGTGTGAGAATTGATACTTGATCCCTTGGCGGTGCTTAATTAATTAACTGTTACGAAGATGTTATGCTGCTCTCTTTCTGGTCAGCATGGGCCAGGGCCACCCAAGATTATTAGCTTACCAACTAATGATAATAAAAATAAATTTTAGATTAGTAGTAACCAACAATCTTGATTCATATATATTAACAATTGGCTCACTTGATGGAACCACTACGTAGAAAAGGAAATAGTAAGTTCCTACTTGCTAAAAGTAAAAAGGGTGTTTGGTATTGATGTGTTTCTTGCATCTGGGTTTAAATAATTTGCCACATTAATTAACATGTAAGCATAAATGTGCGAATTCTGCATTTATTGATGCCCATTTATGTGATCCAATCAACAATAAGGTGCCAACTAGTTCACTTGATAAAGTGTTTGGCTAGTTGTAGGCTTGTGGCAGAGACTTGGGATCAATTACTAGGGATACATTTTTTCCCAACCCCACCCCATCCAACCCAAAGGGCAATTATCAGAAGTTTCATTTTAAAATTTCTACAACTGGGGAAGGCACATTGTTACAGTTCCCCTTGTAATGCGGCACATTGAAAAAGTAGACAAGTTTTTTGGGAATTGCTTTGTTGTTTAGACTGTGTTTGGTTGCAATGCAAATAAATTTGTATCAATACAAAACCATGGCAGTGTAAATGACTCGAGTGTAAATTCTGATATTTTTATTTCAAATTTTAGCTTATTTTGTTTGATTGCAGTATCAATGAAGTAAATTAAGACATGAAGCATAATAAAGTAAAATCCAAAAATAAAAAATAAACAAGAATTTGCATTTTTTACATTTTCTCTCCCATGCATTTGTACTAGTGCAAATTTATTTGCACTGCAACCAAACACAGCCTTAGGTTCAATAATTGCAACAATGCCAAACACCCTCTAAGTTGATGCAATTTACACTTACAAAAGGGTGCAAAACATGGTTGTGAAGCCCATTTTTAATATATTTATTCATACATAGCATATTAGAGCTTTCTTCCAGTTTAGCTTAACAAACTTGCTAACTGTAAGATATCCTAAGACCACCCAATCAATTATTGTTAAAAAATATATATGTTTGGGCCTTTGGGGGAATAAATGATGTAAACAAACAACCTAAGAGAGGTTGTTACTTGTTAGGGACAGGCAATCAGCTACTATATCTCAACCAATGTTCATTGTGATTATCATCTCTTACCAATATGGGTTCCACTATGAATCTTGTATCGTCGCCCAATTCATGTTAGAGCAACAAAATTATTTATTCAAGGCTAGTATCTTTTCATGATTTAAAATTCAACACAGATCCGTCTGATACGTTGGTGATTGGCAATCTTGATTGAGCACCAACATTCATGGAAGGTGATGAAAGACAATGAGGTGGTTGTTTAAGCTGGTGCAAGCGATGAGTAACATCATGGATGTATCACATTGAGCTGGATTGGATGGGACTCAACTTGGATCTGCTCAGAGAGAATTCACATAGGCTGTGATCATAGTTGTAGCACTTTCTTGCAACCCTCCAATAAAATACAGAAATGCCAGCGATCAAATAATAAAAAACAGACTGTTGGATGTTTTCGAATTTAAAACAATTGCTGATGTGTCTATGTTTTATTGGACCCTCTGAGAGGTGGCCCCATCTGAGCCTGTCCTATGTATAAATAAGTCTAGAAGGAATGCCAACCCAAGTCATGGAAAACCCAGCATGCCAACCGGGTTGTTGGACCAAGGACCCAGTAGTAGGCCAGGATTGAATCAAATCAATCCTTGATAGAAGTAGCCAAACAAGCTTGGATTGCTTGAAAATTGGGCTGGGATATGTCAAGTTGTCAACACAGTCATGGATTGTAGGCAAAGAATTGGAGGATCTGGTAAGGAATTGTAATTCCATCAAGAGTTTGGGAAGTAGTAGACGCATGGTAGGCCATGGGCGATGGGATGGATAGGAAATCCTTTCACAGCCAAAAATGAGAATTTCGTAGGGAAGTCCTTGGACAGGCTACTGAAACATGCTGGGCCCAGTAAGGTGATCATTCCTTGGCCTCCTCATTACTTTTTTTGTCTTTGGATGAACTTGACAAGCTGGTCTGATGCTCATGGAAAAGCCAAAAGTTAAAAGATGAGTAAGCCTGGGAGATTGGGGAGAACCAATTATGAAAAAGTTGGGGGGACAATGTAATTTGCATCCCACGGAATTTGGCTTATAGCTGAACTCAATTCCATCCCCACTACCCCCTCTCTCTGTCTCTCCTAAATAGCTTTTTATATTTTAATTACTACTATTCGCTCATTTTGCGTAAAAATGGAGGATAACGAGGTGGGTTTTACAAAAAAAAAAATGCAATAATTTTGCATTCAGCCACCATTACAATAGGGCTTATGGTAATTTTTTTGGAGGGTGGATAAGTTATTTATCCATCCATCAAAAACGTCAATCATCTTGCTTGTTGCATCTTATCGGCGTAATCATCGGTTAAGCCGCTTGTTATGTTGTATTTGTGATCACTTATCCAAAGAAACGCCTTATCCCGATAACAAATTTAGGGTCCATTGGGTTTGCAGGAATAGGGGCCTGAAATCGGAATCGGAATGGGCTATTTTGATTCTAATTGTCTGTAGGGGTGCTCACGGACTGAACTGTGGGGTAAATTTTTGGACCGAACTGGTATGTTTGGTTTTTACATTTAACCGAACCGATGCACTTGGTTAATCAGTGGTTTGGTTTTTCGGTTTTTTATGCCCTTTATTTAAAAAAAAAAAAGGAAACACAGTTGAAGAGAACTAGGATGCCACTTCGCCGGTGTCACCGAGATGTAGTAGAGCTTGTAACTCGTAGCCAAGCCTCTGATGTCACCAAAGAGGCGAGAGAGAGAGAGAGAGAGAGTCGCGAGACGAGAGAGAGTGAGAGAGAGGCGAGAATCGCGAGACTAGAGATAGATAGATAGAGAGAGAAAGAGAGAGAGAGAGAGAGAGAGAGAGAGAGAGAGAGAGAGAGAAAGAGAGAGGGAAAGAAATGGATGAGGGAAATAGGGAATAGGGATACTGCACGTATGCAGCGGGTGTCAGAGTCAGACGACTCAGACTATCAGACAGGCTATGCCAATCTGGCAGCTTGAAAGTCTCAGACTATCAGTAGTTAGTTCGGCAATTTAAAACTTTAAAATGTGTTTATTAGATTAAAAAAAGTATATATAATATTATATAAAAATATATTACTATACATATATATATTGGTTGGTTCGGTTAACTACCAGTTTTTTTAAATGATTAATCGAAACCGAACATAAACTATAGGTTTTCTGAAAATGTTGAACCGAAACCGAACCGACCAGTTTGGTTAACCAATTTTTCGGTTTGGTTTCGGTCAGTTTTTTGGTGTTTTTTGCTCACCCCTAACTGTTTGATTGGGCGAAATCGGAATCCTAGTCCAATTTCTGTTGGGATGGCATTCCCCCATTTGAGGAAATGGCCATTCCTTGCCCCTCTCTTGGGAATAAAATCCCATTCTTGCCAATCTTAATTCCCATTTTCATTTATGTCTAAACCAAACAGACTATGGGAATGGACCATTTCAATTCCGATTCCAACTATAAACCAAACGGACCTTTAATTCATTTTCTATGATACAAAAGTTATTATAAATTCAAAATTGACAAACTTGTTAAACCCGAGCTTAGGTGGACACAGCCCAAAAGAGTTTGGGTTTAACTTGGGTTAGGCTCAAGCCTACAAGGTTGGGTTTGACCAGAGATTGGACTAGTTCAGGTCCTAGGTTTTGCATTTACGGTTGGGCTTGGTTTGGCCTTAAGCCCGGCCTATACAATTCAAGTTATAGCCCTCATCTAAACCCTAATAGAGTATGTATGTAGTAGACCAAGCCCCTTATTAGTTGTGCTTATGGGTTTAACGTGATAAGGTCGAATAATGGGTGAGCAAAAAAAAAATTTGAAAAATCGAACCGAAAAATTAGTTAATCGAATTGATCAGTTCAGTTTTGGTTCAGTGTTTTTAAAAACCCGAAGGTACCAGTTTGGTTTCGGTTAACCAATATAGAAAACCGGTGGTTAACCGAACCGACTGGTATACAAATATTCTATATATTTTATATATATTTATGTATGTTATATATATATATATATATTATAAATTAATAAATATGCATTATATGTATACATATTATTAATTAAAATATAATATTTTATACATATTTATAATATTTTATTATAGATTTATATAATATATGTTATAAAATTTGAAAAACCAAAAAACCAACAAAACCGAACCGGTCAACCAGTTCACCAACTGGTTTTAGTTCAGTTTCGATCACCGGTTTTCCAAAAACCGGTAGTACTGGTTCGGTCCTAAAAAAACCCCATCGAACCGTGAGCACCCCTAATTGATAGGCCTTTAACATGGCAAATTGACAAATAAACT